GCCCCAACATCATGCTCCTCTGGTGAGCTAAGAGGGATTTCTGTATGCAGGCTGCACAGACTATATTTTTTATAATTTTTAAAATATCACCTGCTTATGCTTCATGATGTGTAACATTATTGTTAGTCCTGTTTTGCCATGTAGTACAAAATAGTGTCTTGCTCGCTTCACTGTTGTAATTATATTTTTGCCCTAGTCATGTGTACTTACAGAAACATTTCAGGATGAAGTGACATCAACACAAAGATCTGCGAGTAGTGCGGCATGGCCGTTACCGAATGATTATGGATTGGAATTGGAATGTGCTGATGTTCTCGAGCGTCAACTAGAGGTGGCAAGACAATGTGTACATGATTGTCAACGTATAATCAACAAGTTGAGACTGGACATGCAGGTATTAGATGCAGGAGTCAAAAAAATGAAACAAGACACTAAGGTAACCACGAAGGAATTGGAGATTTTGCAGACTGAAATTTGTGCTATCTGAATCCGGCCAATCCTATTTTCTAAAGAGATTATAGTTCAAATGGAGTTAAGTTGATGCGCGTCCATGATGTATGAGATGTATTTGCCTAGTGTATGTAATTTGTTGTTTGTGTATGCTTTATTATCACCTGTGCCGAACCATAATGCCCAGTGGGTATAATCGGCTGTAATTTCTTTATTGTATAGTGTAGGATTATTCTACATTTCTATGTCTTGGTCTCTTTGTTGTATAGTCTATGTTTTTAGAGGTGATAGTATTGAGTAGGATAATTCTTTGAATATGCTATATCATTCAAACGGGGGCCAACTCGCCCAAACGTTGTAGTGACCATGGCCGTCCACGGGCCGTACGGTCCACGGGCCATGTACGGGCCGCCAGATCCATGGGCCTTCAATGGGCCGTCGGATCCATGGGCCTTCAATGGGCCGTCGGAACCATGGGCCTTCAATGGGCCGTCGGATCCATGGGCCTTCAATGGGCCGTCGGAACCATGGGCCTTCAATGGGCTGTCAGATCCATGGGCCTTCAATGGGCCGTCGGAACCATGGGCCTTCAATGGGTCGTCGGATCCATGGGCCTTCAATGGGCCGTCGGAACCATGGTCCTTCAATGGGACGTCGGATCCATGGGCCTTCAATGGGACGTCGGATCCATGGGCCTTCTACGTCTCGTAGGATCCATGGGCCTTGTATGGGCCGACTCATTTATGGGTCTTGTACGGGACTTTAATGGGCCGTAGATGGGCTAGAGTGGAAATCGTACGTTTTATGGGCTGACCATAACGGGCCGTTAATAGGCTGTATTTGGTGATGCTATGAAAATGGCCCAACAGATTAACGGTGCACAAACGGGCCGACTGTAATGACGGGCTGAATTTGGCCACAAGCAGAAAATGACAGTAACGGGCCGTAAGTAACCGAATGCTGCAAATGAGCCCAAGAATAAATGGGCCCTCAGAAGGCCGAAAGATAACTTGGCTGGAAATGGCCCAACGGAATAACGGGCCGTTAATGGGTATAAAGTGATACACTGTTCATTACGGGCCAGTTTCACCACAGGCCGTTAATGGGTGTAAAGTGATACACTGTTCATTACGGTCCAGTTTCACCACAGGCCATTAATGGGCCAAGAATTACAAAGGGCCTCATATGGGCCGAAAGACATCATGGGCCATGCATGGGCCAGAAGTGAAAACGGGATGGAATCATATTGGATGGCCCAGATGACGCTACTGGGCCTAATTTGGATAGGGCGTAACGGGCCTTGGGTTAGCGGGCTGTAAATGGGCTATATGCGAACAGGCCGTTAACAGGCTTTCCATGGGCCGGCCCGCCACCTTTTGACCAAGTCAAACCGGCCGGCCTTTTCACAGGAATGGGCCTCCGTTGGGTCGTGCCACGTGTCGACGTATCATAGGCGCCTTCTGTCCAATGAGTGGATGACATCTGCCCCAATGATGAGCCGACACATGTTTCCTCCAGCCAATGATGATTTTACACGTGGAAAATCCCCATTGGTCGGGGCTGTTAACGGGTTATCGGATCCAAAACCCGACCCGATAGCTTAACGGCGTTCTGTTACGGTGGATGCCACGTGTCGGTCATCCTTGACGAAAGCACTTCTATGACGCGCGATTTATTGTCATGGAAGTGGACACTTCCATGATGATAATTTTTGTAATCTCATGGAACACTTCTACGACAGCACATGTATGACTATCTTGATTCTGTCATAAAATCGTCATGGATGTATATGCATGACAAAAAACGCAACCTACTGTGACAAACACGTATCATCACCGAAGTGTATTTTTTTGTAGTGTCTGTCCCCCTCTCTCCCCCTTCCTTCCACTCCTAGTCCAACTAGGGAAGGGGGGAATCCTACTCCCAGTGGGAGTAGGACTCCCCATGGGGCGCGCCATAGGAGGGCCGGCCCTCCCCCTCCTCCACTCCTTTATATATGGAGGAGGGGCACCCCATAGACACACAAGTTGACATTGTTTAGCCGTGTGCGGTGCCCCCTCCACAGTTACACACCTTGGTCATATCGTCATAGTGCTTAGGCGAAGCCCTGCGCCGGTAACTTCATCATCACCGTCACCACGCCGTCGTGCTGACGAAACTCTCCCTCGGCCTCAACTGGATCAAGAGTATGAGGGAGATCCCCGAGCTGAATGTGTGCTAATCGCGAAGGTGTTGTATGTTCATTGCTAAGATCGGTCGGATCGTGAAGACGTACGACTACATCAACCGCGTTGTCATAACGCTTCCGCTTTCGGTCTATGAGGGTACATGGACACACTCTCCCCTCTCGTTGCTATGCATCACATAGATAGATCTTGCGTGATCGTAGGAATTTTTTTGAAATTACCACATTCCCCAACACCCCCCTGCCGCTACATAAAGCAGCACACATCCCTTTGTCGACGAACTCTTTTCCCTCTCTCTCCCCGTTCAAAGCCGACGTACATAAAGCAGAAGATGGACGAGAGGTTCCCCGGCGGTGGAGCGGCGGACAATGGCTTTGGCCGCCGCTCGCTGCACGAGTGGGAGGCCCACCTCTTGTTCGAAGCGAACGTCCCGGCTTCTCCCGACATGCCCGCGCTGGGTCGATGGAGGCTCAGCGCCGGCGGCGTGCCCATACCCCCGCTGCCCAACGTGACAACGCGCCCCGACTACTTCAACGACGAGGTCGAGCGAGTGCGGGCGTCGCTGACGGAGGAGCGCGTGGCCCTCCCGGTGTACGCCGCTGGCAATCACAAAGCGTGGGCGCCGTACTTGGGATGCCGGCAGGCGGCGCGGCTGGCCTCCACCAATGGTGCTCCTCTGGTGCGGGGCACCAAGAACAGTGACGGCCGCCGCCTGCGGTGGGGCGCCCCCGGCCGCACGCTCCACGCCATCCTCCAGCACCTCAAGGGCGACAATGTGCCGTCATTGACATACCCTACCGCCCCGGTTCCCCGCCGGAGCGGCAGCCAATTGATGTCGAGGAGGACCGGCTCCTCTTCCTCCTCCTCCCGCTCCTCCTCGCACTCCTCCGGGTCGCCGGCGCTCTTGAGCGTCAAGGCCGAGACAGCGGAGACGCCGCTCGGCCGGCGCACCACAGCGCCGGCATCGTCATCAACGAGGGTGGGCGCGGCTCCTCCTCGGCTCCTTCCTGCCTCATCAAGCCGAAGACGGAACCGGGGATCGCCGCCGTGAAGACGGAGCCAGGTCTCGCCGGCGTCAAGACGAAGCCGGGGCTCGATGACGCGGCGGCCTTGAAGTGCGCGCGGGAGGACTGGGCGCGGCTCGAGTTGGAGCGCCAGCGCCGCGCCCTAGAGGAGATCGCCGCTCGGCACCGGGGCCGTGACGAGGGAGGCGTCGTCGTTCTCGACGACAGCGACGAAGACGTGCCACCGCCGCCGGTCTGACAGGACGACCCCGGGTAGGGGTCCCGCAGTGGCGTCCGCGTGAAGGAGGAGAAGAACGACGACGGCGGCGACGACGGCGACTACGTTGTGTTCAGCAAGTTCTTCGGCCTCTAATCACGGGCTTTTTTTAGTGAATTTTAAGTTTCCTATGTAAAAACAGCTTTAAAGTCGCCGAAGTTTTTGTCATTCTTGCCGAATTTTGCCCAAATTTATTTTTAAACTCTTTGAAACAGGCGTCCTGCGGCGGACCCTTGGGGCGGCGGCTGGGACCCTGATCAGCCCTAGACCGATTTTAGCGCCGGTTCATCCCAGGCGGCAGTTTTTCGGGCCGCCTGAGAGGCCAAACGGCTGGAGTTGCTCTAACTATTTTAAGAAAACAATGAAACTTTGGAATGTGATTTTCTTTTTCAAAACAACGGAGCTCCAGCACCAAACTTGTTTTCTAAATTTTTATGTCTTACGCAAAAACAAAAAGTTAGTGCCTTTTGATACAAGAGGCCATTTTCGTTAGTCCTGTAGATGATCAAACGTTGACCAAAATATTGGCCAATAAACCCGAACCAAGCGTACCACGGACAAAGTTTGACCAAAGTACTACTCAAAGAGGGTGTCGAAGTTCAAGCTTTTTGTGCAGAGTGGAGTCACCGTTGACGCTGATACAGAGTGCCACGCCTGCGACCTCCGACGATAGAAAGAAAAGAAAGCTCGCCGCGCCTGCCGCCTCGTCGACATGCCGCTGGAGTGCTTCGACCTGCGGATCGCGTCGCGCGAGCTGGTCCGGGCCTCCAACCCTCCCCGAGCTTCCCCGCCGTGCACGCCGTCTCCAACCTCGACCTCGTCCTCGGCCCCTTACCGATCTACCTCGTGAGCATCTACCCTCCCCCGCCGTGCGGCCTGGACCCCGTGCTCGCCGCCGTCCGCGCCGCGCTCCCGGCCTACCTCTCCCGCTTCTTCCCCTTCGCCGGCCGCGTCGTGCGCCACCCGGACACCAACGTCCCCGAGGTCGCCTGCTCCAACGCCGGCGCCGAGCTCATCGTCGCCGACGCTGCCGGGGTCCCCCTCGCCGCCGTCGACTTCGCGCGCTTCGACGGCTCGCTCGGGATGATCCAGATCCCGTTCGACGCGGGGCTCGCGTTGTCGCTGCAGGTGGTCCGGTTCGCGTGCGGGGGGTACTCGTTGACCGTCGGCACCAACCACCTCCTCGCCGACGGCCGGGCGCTCATCTTGCTGCTCAATAGCTTCGCGGAAATGGTCCGCACTGGCGGGGGACTCTCCCGCGGGCCGCTGCTCGACCGGTCGTCCCTGCTCGTCCCGCGGTCGCCCCCGCGGTACAGCTCGTCGCTGGACGCCGAGTTCGCGAGGTTCACGCCGGAGACCATGATCAATCCCCTCCTGGCCGCGGCCATGGAGCGGCGCGTGTACCGCATCGGCGCAGCCGACCTCGTTGGGCTCCAGAAGGCGGCGTCCCCAGGCGGCGGCCGCCGCACCTCGCGCTTCGTGGCGCTGTGCGCGCACGTCTGGAAGCTCCTGGCGCGGGCCGTCGGCGACTCCGACCCCAACTGTCGCATGGCGTGGATCCTCGAAGGCCGGAAGTGCATCGAGCCGTCGGAGGGCGCGCTGGACATGTACATGGGGAACGTGGTCACCTACACGTCCCGCGAGGCGAGCGTGGCGGAGCTGCTGCGCGCGCCGCTGCACGACGTGGCGGCCGCCGCGGGCGCGGCCATGGCGTGGGTGATGACCAGGGACAGGTTCCAGGAGCTGGTGGACTGGGTGGAGGTGAACAAAACGGCGTACAAGGACGGCGGGAAGTGGACGGAGGCGGTGAACCTCGGCCTGGGGAGCCCGGCGCTGGTGATCTCCGGAATGCTCCCGTTCGCCATCGACGGGGACCTGGGGTTCGGGAAACCGAGGATGGTGTCGCCATGGCTGCGGCACGGCCGGCTGGGGTCGGCATCGATGATGGCGGTGCCCTGCCCGAGCGGGGATGGGTCGTGGTTCATCGGCGGCACCAGGCTATGGCCGCGGCTGGTGGAGGTGATCGAGGCCGGCCCGGAGAGCCTGCTGAAGCCGCTGACGGCGGCGAGCTAAGGTTCGTGGCGCCCCACGGCTCTCGTCTGTGAGCTCGCGGCGGACAGTGTTGTCCTTCCGTAAACAAATATATAAAATATAAAAGCGTTTATGTCACTATTTTAGTGAGTGAATATTTTTCTGTTTTTTTACTGAGTGAGTAATAATGTTCTGTCAGTGAAGCGGTTCTTTCTGGACGTGGAGGATTTAAGCTCGAGCTCAAATGAGTTTGATGAACAGTAAAATCAAAAATAATTAAAAGAAAATTCCTTTTTATAAACTTTGATAGATGTTCTAACTGCTTGCAAATTTTCATTATGAGATCACATTCGTGGAAGCCGCGACAGAACAACAAAACCGATGCTCCAAAAATGCAACTTTCAAAAGCATTTTTTAGAGCACTGAATGTGATCTCATGATGAAAATTTTGCAAACACGTAGAACATCTGTCAGTGTTTACCATTAAAAAAAATCATATTTTTTTAATTTCTTTTCGAAAAAACTGATTTTACTGCAGCAGGCTCATTTGAGTTCTTCCTTACAATTACTAAGCTCTCTAGGAGAGCTTCAATAGTGTACTCCCTCTTTGTTTATTTACTCCATGTGCCACCATTGTTTAAAGTTTAAATTTATAAACTTTAATTTGAGTACATCATTAGATTCATTATTAAATATATTTTCATGCTATATTCTTTGCAGAAATATTCTGACAGCATATAGATTTGTTATTATAAATGTTTATATTGTTCTCAATTATCTTGATCAAACTTTACACATTTTGTCTTCAGTCAAAACTGTTGTGCTAAATAAATAAAAATGGAGGAAGTATATTCCTCAAAGTGGACCTGCCTGTAAGGGTCTGGTAGGATTGTGCGTCTCATATCAATTTTTTTAGACAATCTCGCGAAGCTTTTATTTAACTCATCACAATGTTTACAGGGGCGAAAGATAGTTCACCTGGGTTGCCTAACCACACACGGCGGCCAACTCCAAGTGAGAGAGCATGCTTCACTAAATTGTGAGTCTCGACATTCGAGCTTCTAAATTCATGGCTAAAAAGCAGGTAGCAAAAAGGTTAGATCGATCTACAATCTCCCTAATGATAGCTCCATAGCCTGCTGCAATCACCTGTCTGATATCATCAATGACAATTTTGTAGTCCGAGGCCACTGAGATCCTGCGCTCGTAAAGGTCATCCGCCAATGCAAGTGACTCCCATACTGCCAAGGCCTCTAATGTCGTAGGATCACCAAGACCATGGAAGGTAATCTTCGCCACACACAAAAAAACTCCATGTCGATCCCTACACACCGTTGCGACCGCGCCGACCGGTCTGGCTCTCATAAGCGCAGCATCGACGTTGATCTTGCATGTTCCTTCCTGGGGTGGCATCCACTGGCTCGGGCGGGGCTGAGCAGCTCTAGGCTCTGATAACCCACAAGTATAGGGGATCGCAACAGTTTGCAAGGATAGAGTATTCAACCCTATTGGTTCGACACAAGGGGAGTCAAAGAATATTTACAAGTATTAGTAGTTGAGTTATCAATTCAACCACACCTGAAGATTAATTATCTGCAGCAAAGTGATTAGTAGCAAACTAGTATGGTAGTTTTGATAGTAGTAGCAACATCAATAGTTACAATAACAGTGATAGCAATGATTTTGTAGCAAGTGCAATAGTAACAATAGCAGTAGTAACTTAGCAAGAACAATATGAGAGAAATTCGTAGGCATTGGATCGATGAATTCGTTGGATGATATTCATCATATAACAGTCATAACCTAGGGCGATACGACAGTAGCTCCAGTTCATAAATATAATGTAGGTGTGTATTCCGTAAATAGTCATACGTGCTTCCTTCTCCACCACTACATCGTCCAGGGGCCATCCATCTAGTCGCCTCCGGTGGCAGTGGATCTTCCTTCTCCACCATCACATCGTCCATGTCCTCCTCCTGGAGGCCAAGCTCGCTCATCAGTGCTTCCAAGTCCCCTGTCTTGGAGTTCAAAGACGACACAGCCATGTTGTTTCCCTGACCCGAGAAAAGATTCGGTCGGCTGCTTCGCCAAAACCCTAGCCTAACCCCAGACCAAAGGATCGTGCGTCAAGACCGGGCAGCGTTGCTAAGAACGCCCCTTGATCGGTCCGAGCACAGCCCTTCTGCGAAGACGACACTACTAGAGAAAACTTTACTAGTGGCGCTGGTTTTTTACATACTAGTAGCACGGGCACCCGCGGGCACTACAACTATTAATAGTAGCGCGTTTCTAAACAAGCGTTGCAGCTAAAATACTTAGTAGTAGCGCCTCTTTGTATACCAATGCTACTACTATCATCACGTAGTAGTAGCGCCCTATTTTCTCCCCACGTCACAACTACGTAAATAGAAATTAAAAATAATAAAAAGAAGTCAGATGCAATATTCATGGAAATCAAGACAAGTCCAGTGCAAATAAACTAAGTTCATAGAACCATCTCACAAACATTAACGACAATACCACATTTAATATAACAACACAACCTCACAAACTCATATATAGTAGTCAACAATGCATGGATAGATCATAGTTGATAAGTCTACTAAGTAATCATACTAGCATATATATGGTTCAGCAGCCACACACATGCATATGTAGTTATAGATGATATCGATGACGATCATCATCCTCAAGCCTTGGCGGTGGGTGTTCCTGATAGTAATTAGGATGGCCTGTCCAACATGAAGATTCTTGCCGACGAGGAAGCTCTTCCATCCAACCGAGTTGGAGTGTGTGCGACCGTCCGTGTCCACGCCGTATGCATAGGTGGTGATAGAGCCCCTCGCGGTAAGGCGTATTCCAGCAGAGCCTTCTTCATCAGGTTTGATACCACAACTCTCAGATAGGCTCTTTGGCAATTTTTGAATAAGAAAACATATCAATTAATAAGTAGCCTCACACATTCTACACTATCAAAATATATTACTACATTTCTACTAAGTATGAATTCTACTAATAAGTATATATGGATTCTACACTATTAACAGTTCTTTGGATTCTACGTGAAGCATATATATCATCGGATTCACTAAGCATATATATCATCGGACTCTACACTAAGTATAATAATAAAGCATATCATCAAATTACTACAGTAAATGGAACATACAATGACATGCCGATCAACCATGGTACTTGTCAGGTGGGTCTCGAATGGCACCCCGACGAAGTTAGCACGTGGCGGAATTATGTCCCATAGGTTGCACACTTCCTCCTCGCTCAACCTCATTCTTTGAGCTACGATGGCTTCATCAAGTGGGTCATCATCATCCTCATCATCTTCATCATCTTTCGCTTTGTTGACATAAATGACGGCCAGCTTGGGTCTTTTTGCTCTGAAGGAGAAGCTGATCAACTCACCACCGGTGATATGCATGTGGGCGATGAAACGGGCCCATCCATCTCCTCCCACCTGCGTCATATTTCGTCCTTTCTCGGCCTTCATAGTGTAGGGGCGCCCAGGAGCCTCAAAGGTTACAAAGTCTCCAGTCAGCTTGTTGAATTCTGACCTCACATTGCATGGGACGATCTATGTACAAAAAGCAAAATAATATATACACGATGCATTAATACCAATAACACTAAGAACAAAATAGTGGTTACTAGTTTCATATAATTTATTACCGCTGCATGAAGAAAACTAGACTGGAAGTAGATGCCGAACAGAGTGCCAGTTGCAAGGCTGCTGGTGCACCTTGACTTGCACCGTCGACATGGTGGTGGTGGTGGTGATGGTGGCGCCATTTCCCTAAAGCAATATGATTAAAGGATTAACGATCCCAAAAGTAAACATAAAGTTTTCAATACTCATCAGGTTTTGAATAATATACACATCAGGTTCACATCATAGAGAACACACATCAGATTCACATGGCAAGCAAAATAACAACTAAATTGTAGTTCAGTTCAGACAATAACCTAATAGAGATCATGTAACCCAAACAGAGCCTAATAATAATATAAATGGCATATTGCCATTATTGTGCAAGCAGACAAGCAAAAGTAGTTCAAAAATAGCCTAATTCTGCATTATTAGTAGTAGATAAAATACCATTTATTCGCACATTAATCGAGGCAGCTATAAGGCAGCAATAAGATCATCAATAGATAAAATACCATTTATTTACAAAAATATCAATTATGTATTATCTTTGCAAGCATGGCAAAGCAGAGCAATAACTCTTCCATCCTCATCAAGGACAACTCCCAGCCCTGACACAAGGGTAAAAACACTTCCATCCGCATCGAGGACAACTGAACTAACTGGATCAATCCAGGGGAACACTTTATCTATTCCCACATCCAAAAGTACCAGCTTAGAATCTTTCAAAATAGCACGACACAAGATTCACAAAACACAATAAGTAAACATCCATTCCACCTTTGGCATCAGATGCACAATAATTAGAACTATAAAAGGCAAACACACCCCTTTTAGATCAGATACAACTCTCTATCTCTCTGTGTTTTCTTTTTCTGAAATTTACCAAAAATGGGCTCACTAACAGCACCAGATGGATATCGATTTGGGTCGATCATTCCATTAACGGTCGGGTGCTGGTGGATCGATGTCGTCACCGGCTAACCTCCTCCTACTTCTAAAAGGCAATGAAACAAGACTGCAAGTGCATGCTTCCCTTTGCATCAACCGCTCTAGCCATCGGTGCGGTTGGTTAGGCCTTAGGCGTGTGTGACTATGTTTCCACAGCAAAAAACCATTGCTGTAAGATACCCTGGAGAATTGTTGACCTAACTTGCCGCCCTCTCCGCCATTCTCCTGCTCCTTCCCTTTCCCCTTCTCCCTGGCCCTCTGCTTGCCCGCCTCCACCATGGCGGCCGCCACCGCCGCCTCCCTGCTCTCCTGCTGCTGCTCCTCCCGTCGCACGCTGTCCAGCAGCTCCCACTGCCTCCTATCCCTCTCCTGCAGCTCCCGCCGCCTGTTCCCCACCATGCCCAACAAGCCTCTACTTCTCTCACCTAAC